TCGTATTAGCCCCGTGGCTTGCGCGCTCTCTCGTTCGCTGAAGGCACTATACGATTTCTCTCGTTCGCTGAAGGCACTATACGATTTCTCTCGTTCGCTGAAGTCACTATACGATTTCTCTCGTCCGCTGAAGGCACTATACGATTTCTCTCGTTTGCTGAAGGCACTATACGATTTCTCTCGTTCGCTGAAGGCACTATACGATTTCTCTCGTTCGCTGAAGGCACTATACGATTTCTCTCGTCCGCTGAAGGCACTATACGATTTCTCTCGTCCGCTGAAGGCACTATACGATTTCTCTCGTCCGCTGAAGGCACTATACGATTTCTCTCGTCCGCTGAAGGCACTATACGATTTCTCTCGTTCGCTGAAGGCACTATACGATTTCTCTCGTCCGCTGAAGGCACTATACGATTTCTCTCGTCCGCTGAAGGCACTATACGATTTCTCTCGTCCGCTGAAGGAACTATACGATTTCTCTCGTCCGCTGAAGGAACTATACGATTTCTCTCGTCCGCTGAAGGCACTATACGATTTCTCTCGTCCGCTGAAGGAACTATACGATTTCTCTCGTCCGCTGAAGGCACTATACGATTTCTCTCGTCCGCTGAAGGCACTATACGATTTCTCTCGTCCGCTGAAGGAACTATACGATTTCTCTCGTCCGCTGAAGGCACTATACGATTTCTCTCGTGGATTCAAATTATGAAGTACATTTGTGTCTGTCATTCTTATACATTGTCGCCATAAAATAATACATCCACAGGTGTGTAAGAATCGATATGTCGTAGATATGTGATATATAAACAAGTGAAACTGGAAAACAAAACAAGCGAACACTGGTCTAGGAGTTTGGCTGGACATACAGTGGTAACGTTCGTAGTGAGTTTGTACCACACCACACGGAACAATACAACAGTTTTATCACGGCTTGTCTGCTTAATGTGGGAGGAACTCCCGAAGTAATGCGCTTACCACTCTGGTGAAACCCACAAACACGGGAATGGTGCCGCAAAGACTGAAGCATAATCAGGGCGAACTCAACATCATCTTTTATTCAATCAACAGTTTAAGTGTGGTATAACATTCCCTTAGCTATTAGAAGTTGCGACTCTGTTGCATCGTTTAAATGTTATATCCACGTGAAGGAAAAATGCGCACCTATATATTATTCATATGGAATAAGGAAGTTCAATGTTATGCACACTAGATTAAGATATATGACGAGTACACTTAATTATGATTTATATGTAAAAAATGACGCATCATGTCAATGTGGCCATAGATGTGAGAATGTTTTTCATGACTTCCTTGAATGTCCATTGTATACTATTCAAAGACATAAACTGTCAAAGTCTTTAGAACATACATGTATTGTCAAAAACAGAACCCTGATTGATATTAATCTTATCTTACATGGCAATGCAGGTCTCTCAATCACTGAAAACCAGACTGTTTTCAAATATATACATATCTATATCTCTCCAACAAAACGTTTTCTCAGTTAACATGTATTGTACATATCCTAGCCTATGCCTGCCATGTGCACTTGTGTACTTTGTTGTAAGATGAATTGTGTATTATCTGGAGAGGGCTTTTCTAAGTTGGATAACCTGTGCCCAATCCTTTTCTTGAATGAATAAAATATGTTTAAAACAAAAGAGCGAACATGGGATTCAAACCTACGGATCATGGGTTTCCCTGGGCCCAAGGGACGCAACTCAGTCATGTTTATCAGGTGTTTCGTGACCATTTATATTTTCAGGGATGCACGATACACATGTATATTGTGAGTGTGTGAGTGAGCTAGTAATATATTCCAGCAGTATCATGTGGAGACACCAGAAATGGGCTTCACACATTGTATCCGTGTGGGGAATCGAACCCGGGTCCAGAACGAACGCTTTAACCACTAGACTATCCCTATGTGTATTGTGGTTAGTGAAGACACGGATATACACCTCTGTATAAAAGTTACCAGATAAACCGACAAATACGCTGAAACAGTTCCATGTAACATTTTACATGTCTAAAAAATATCTAATACATTCTGATACACGCACGTCAGCACTGCGACTTGGCAGCTACGTTGGCGGGAACGGTAACGGCATCAACTGTAGACTGGATGAAGGCATAGACAGCCCTGTAGCTGTGCAAGATAATAACCCCTAAATTGAATGTACGCTGTTCGCATTCTCTACGACAAGGAACCTGTATATTGTGATGGGTGTCATGCTTAGCGAATGTCTGTTTCTTTTCCAATTTAATGTCGCACAATGCAGCAATGTACGTCACGCCGTAGCAGCAATACTATCACTTCAAATCAATACTCTAGAAATGTTTATTCGCCTTCGTAATTACGTTTGTTTTATTTTGATTGTATCCCAAGGTTACTTCGTTTAAGTAGTTGTGCAGATAATAGCACTGCATTGAGCCGCTGACGTAAGACAACTCTCGGCCAACCACGAGATATATCCCACCGCTAATTATCGCCTACTAGTTTTTTGCCCTGTCTGTCTGACTAAAATGTTCCGTTATTTGTTCATAAATGTCGCAAAAGAGAGCGAGGGAAAAGCTATCGTTTTGACAAAAAAATCTGGGGTGTTTAAGGGCACGTCCATTACGCCGATCACAGGCTAGGTTGGAATTGTGGATAATGAATCCAGTGCTTGGATTTATCCTGCGACAGTGTTGATAATCAAGTGCCTTGGGTCATTAGACGTCAGAAGAACGCGCGAGATCTTGCAGCAATTTTTCAAGATGTCACCCAGAGACTAAATCAATAGGCATGATTGACAATTTTGAGAGGTCATTGAAATAAAGCAAGAAGCGGCGGAAATGAAGTGATATTCTACCCCATTTTTTACACTATGTTGTTGGGAAATTGTGACATTTGCATATACGAAGGTTGGAGCAGATTGTCTGCCGATCATCCAGCGTTCGGATCGATCTTCTCGCGCTACATGACGCCATCTTGGTTTTTGACGTCTAGGTACAGGAGAGGGATTTTTTCTCTCACTGACAATAATTACTGTGGTTTATTTGTGGAATGCATCCATGCATGCGTTTAATGCCGTACAAGTCTGCATGTTTGCAGAGTGATTATTTGGTGGCTGTGTTATAAATACACAGATCGATGACAACAATACTTTCACAATTTCAACAAGAAACATGATGCTCTCATAATTAGACCTCTGCATCAACAAATCCTTGATGAACTTTTTCTGTGCGACATAATGGTTGCAACAGTGTTACTTTTCGAAAGGAAATATTGTATTGATTCAAGTAAATTGTACACTTCTGATGACACGTCGGAGTGTATGAAATATTCATTCCCTTATCATCTGCGATTAATGATTAGTTGGAGATAAAATGGAATACGATATATCTGGTGTTAGAAGAATGTATATGCATGATCATGTCTTTCGAATCAATAGCAGTTTTAGATCTTGAGTGTTTATTACTTAGGTGGACTCTGGCTGAGACAAGCTATTACGAGATCGATGCAGATAAAAAACGGCCTTTAACATCTCGATAACGTCTTTGGTTTGCTGGTGTGATTTCCGACGTTTGGACACCGACGAAAGTCGTTTTTGGTGGCAGGCGTTGAACTTTTTATGGTATTTGTACGTAGGTGCGTTGCAGAGCGTTAATTGGCTATATATCGTGACTGTGCTAGGTTTATTAACTTATAGACATAGTTCAATGATGTTTTCAGTACAGTCGGAGGGGAAGAGGAGGCTGGTATGGTCGACCCCGCGGGGTTACTGGGTGCACATCTTTATTGCAATGAGTCTCTTTAAGGATTTAAAGTGGAAAGTTACTTTCATTCTACACGTTATTGGAAGATTTCATTACGAACAGGGGTAAGGTGTCAAGCTAATAAGAGCCTAGTTAATGATCGGAAAGTATTTCCATCAGACGATTACTTTGATTAAAGTTGTTTTTATATAAAATATTAGTTGGATGTTATTAAATACACGACAAAGAGCCAACAAGTTTGCTGAAAACGTAAACGAAAGCTGTGCTTGAAAATATGCGAAAACAGAAGAGTTAGAATATAGAAGCCCTCCCCCACACACATATACTGATATACTGAGTGTGACAATTGGCGCCAAACAAATGATATCTCTAGTGTATAGATAATGCAGGCGGATAAAGGATTCTGAAGAAATGTGTGTGTGAGAGAGAGAGAAAGGGAGAGAGTGTGTGAGAGAGAGAGTGTGTGAGAGAGAGGGGGGGAGAGAGAAAAAGGGAGAGAGAGGCGAGAGAGAGAGAGAAAGAGAGAGAGAGAGAGAGAGAGAGAGAGAGAGAGAGAGCACCGCCCCTCTTGATCCGCCCCTGGAATGGACGAGGGGGTATTGGTTGATAGCACGAACACCAATTCACCTCTTGGTCTTGGGAGCTGTTTCACAAAGCGATCATAATACTTCCACTTTCGGAAAAAAATATAAACTGAATTGGGACTCGAGGCACTGCTAACATGAATCTGAGGTACTGGACCCTGGTGTGACATTGTAACAACTAGATTCACACTTTAGCCGGCAATTTGGAGTGCTGAGGACGTGTCTTCGCTGCAGTTTCTCATGAGAACAAGCTGACACACCGTCTCACCAGTTGGGCAACATGTCCCGATGAGAGATGAGATAGAACACTGTTAAATTCCCCATGATGAACGATTCTGCGATCTGTGTTTCTGTAAATAGACTGAGGGTGAATACCACATCCCCACATATATGAACAGTATGCCGATATATGCGAAACATATGGTAATCTTGTCCTTCATAATATGGGAGTCTCTTCACAGAAACACCTAAATACCCATTCTCTTATGAATGAAAATATTATATACTTTATGCGTGATTTATGATGTATGGTGGGCCAGTGGACAACTGTTGAATAGAGTTGAATATCTGTCCGTCTCATATTGGTACCATGGATATCTCTCAAGTCACATCCCTTTGTGATGTTGATGAGAACAGAGACCGAGCAAATGTTATATGGAAATAGCTCAGCAACAATACGACGGCGGCAAATCTCAGGAAATCTCAGGAACAGAGATCCCTTCCATCTACGCAGACTCATCCACGGCCATGTCGCAGGGCCTGAGGTCCAACCAGGTCACACTTTCACGACCAACATTGGGATCCTCTGGACCAGTTCAAAACCCAGTCCAAACAGGGTTTACAAACACCACGTGTCTTGTGTATAGCAAGGGTCACATCACCATTAACTGTGATACAGGCTTCAATACTGCCACAGACTGTGATACAGGCTTTAAGACTGCCACCAACTGTGATACGGGCTTCCAGAGTGCCACCAACTGTGATACAGGCTTCAAGACTGCCACCAGCTGTGATACGGGCTTCAACAATGCAACCAACTGTGATACGGGCTTCCAGAGTGCCACTAACTGTGATACAGGCTTCAAGACTGCCACCAACTGTGATACGGGCTTCAAGACTGCCACCAACTGTGATACAGGCTTCAAGACTGCCACCAAATGTGATACAGGCTTCAATACTGCCACCAACTCTGATACAGGCTCCCAGAGTGCCACCAACTCTGATGCAGGCTTCAAGACTGTCACCAACTGTTATATGGGCTTCAAGACTGCCACAGAATGTGATACAGGCTTCAAGACTGCCACCAACTGTGATACAGGCTTCAAGAATGCCACCAACTGTGATACAGGCTTCAACAATGCCATCAACTGTGACACAGGCTTCAAGAGTGCCACAGAATGATACAGGCTTCAACAATGTCATCAACTGTGATACAGGCTTCAAGACTGCCACCAACTGTGATACAGGCTTCCAGAGTGCCACCAACTGTGGTACAGGCTTCAAGACTGCCACCAACTGTGATACAGGCTTCAAGACTGCCACCAACTGTGATACAGGCTTCAACAATGCCATCAACTGTGATACAGGCTTCAAGAGTGCCATCAACTGTCATGCAGGCTTCAATACTGCCACAGACTGATACAGGTTTCAAGACTGCCACCAACTGTGATACAGGCTTCAACAATGCCATCAACAGTGATACAGGCTTCAAGAGTGACACCAACTGTGACACAGGCTTCAAGACTGCCACAGACTGTGATACAGGCTTCAACAATGTCATCAACTGTGATACAGGCTTCAAGAGTGCCACAGACTGTGATACAGGCTTCAAGACTGCCACCAAGTGTGGTACAGGCTTCAAGACTGCCACCAACTGTGATACAGGCTTCAAGAGTGCCATCAACTGTGATACAGGCTTCAATACTGCCACAAACTGATACAGGCTTCAAGAGTGCCACCAACTGTGATACGGGCTTCAAGAGTGCCATCAACTGTGATACAGGCTTCAAGACTGCCACCAACTGTGGTACAGGCTTCAATACTGCCACCGACTGTGATACAGGCTTCACGACTGCCACCAAAACTGTGATACAGGCTTCACAACTGCCACCAAGTGTGATACAGGCTTCAAGACTGCTACCGACTGTGATACAGGCTTCAACATTGCCACCAACTGTGATACAGGCTTCAAGACTGCCACCAACTGTGATACAGGCTTTACGTCTGCCACCAACTGTGATACAGGCTTCAACAATGTCATCAACTGTGATACAGGCTTCAATACTGCCACCAACTCTGATACAGGCTTCAATACTGCCACAGACTGATACAGGCTTCAAGAATGCCACCAAGTGTGGTACAGGCTTCAAGACTGCCACCAACTGTGATACAGGTTTCAACAATGCCATCAACTGTGATACAGGCTTCCAGAGTGCCACCAACTGTGGTACAGGCTTCAAGACTGCCACCAACTGTGATACAAGCTTCAAGACTGCCACCAACTGTGATACAAGCTTCACGACTGCCACCAACTGTGATACAGGCTTCAAGACTGCCACCAACTGTGATACAGGCTTTACGACTGCCACCAACTGTGATACAGGCTTCAAGACTGCCACCAACTGTGATACAGGCTTCAATACTGCCACAGACTGTAATACAGGCTTCAAGACTGCCACCAACTGTGATACAGGCTTCAATACTGCCACAGACTGTGATACAGGCTTCAATACTGCCACAGACTGATACAGGCTTCAAGAATGCCACCAAGTGTGGTACAGGCTTCAAGACTGCCACCAACTGTGATACAAGCTTCAAGACTGCCACCAACTGTGATACAAGCTTCACGACTGCCACCAACTGTGATACAGGCTTCAATACTCCCACCAACTCTGATACAGGCTTCAAGACTGCCACCAACTGTGATACAGGCTTCAATACTGCCACAGACTGTAATACAGGCTTCAAGACTGCCACCAACTGTGATACAGGCTTCAATACTGCCACAGACTGTGATACAGGCTTCAATACTGCCACAGACTGATACAGGCTTCAAGAATGCCACCAAGTGTGGTACAGGCTTCAAGACTGCCACCAACTGTGATACAAGCTTCAAGACTGCCACCAACTGTGATACAAGCTTCACGACTGCCACCAACTGTGATACAGGCTTCAAGACTGCCACCAACTGTGATACAGGCTTCAAGACTGCCACCAACTGTGATACAAGCTTCACGACTGCCACCAACTGTGATACAGGCTTCAAGACTGCCACCAACTGTGATACGGGCTTCACGACTGCCACCAACTGTGATACAAGCTTCGACTGCCACCAACTGTGATACAGGCTTCAAGACTGCCACCAACTGTGATACAGGCTTCACGACTGCCACCAACTGTGATACTGGTTTCAACACTGCCTCTAATGGAGCGGAATAGCTATTTTCCAGATATTTTGTGATGTATCCAAATTTGTTGCATTCTAGAAGGTATGTCACATCATGTGTGAAGAGAAGCCTGTTACTGTCATCATGGCAGAAAACAGAATATGCAGAACAGTTTCCTGTGAGGCGTTAACACAAAAACAAGCACAGATGTACTGATCATATGTTTTTATTTGTTTGTATATTGCGAAGCAGACTACATATATCTCGTTGAAAAAAGGTCTAAAAGACTCAACAGTACCAAAAATAGGACCACCGTAGTAAAATAGTTTTCTAGGCCTAGAACAGCAAATTGCGCCATCAAAACAACTTTGAACAGGGATAGCCGATTCCAAGACAATAACACGTGAACGCGGATCCCTGAATTAAAATGTAAAATATAACCAGACTCCATACTTGCACAATTTGTACACAAAACAAATGGCATATGAGGAAGATGCACTATATCGCATGGGACTCCCCCCTTATCAGACAGCATCCTTACACAGCCATAATGACACATTGTTGGACAATATTATACATAGTTACACACAATATAAGTTGTATAGTCAGGTGAAGTAGTACATATGTATGTTACATACTGAACACTTTTCTTGTGTTGATCTGGCCTGGTAAAAGGGGAGCCATGTTGAATGATGTATACTGGGAAAGGGTCATGGCCAAGACATTGCCGCAATATTTTTGTCGTTTTTCCTTTTTTACAATAGATTTGAGAATAATATGCAAATACTTTCTTTTCTCATTTGAGAAAAGGCAGAAAAAAATATGAATACAAACAAATGCACACAGATCTACCTTAATGATAGTTTAAACAGTTAATATAAAATTTGTCTATGTATTATATAAGTAACTGTAGTTTTCCTGTGTACAATACTCTGGGAATGAAAATATAAGCTGATTCATTTATAAGCTGAAAAGTTGGTTGTAAGACATTTCGGATATCGCTAAACATAACTAACAGTCATTGCAATTTTCTTCTTGCATTCAAAACATGATCAAGCAAATCAATAAACCATTTTTTATTGAAGTATAAAAAAAATCATAGTCTGCTCATAGAATCAAAGTTTGTTATTTATAAATACTTCATAGTTTGAACTTTTAAGATTACCAATGAATCAAGCGCTTTCCAATTGCGAATCAACAGGGGCAATTCAGGGAGTTTGTAACAACCAAAACAATTTAAAGATACACATTATGGCAAGCTAACAAAAAACAGACATTTAAAATATTTCAAAATATTTCTGAAATAAATGCACAAAGTTAAACCCTTGTGGAGAGATCTCGAATTAGCAGTTTCTTCCAACATATATGAGCCTCTCTGTAAATCTGGCCATAATATAGAACTTTAAACATTAAAGCTAGTTTGGTAAAGTGGAGAGACATGTCGTCGCTCCAAGTTGGTCCGAAGTAAACAATAACATAACGTACATAACTTTAACATTTATCTATATAACAAGATTCTATGAAATGAAATCTACAAAGCACTTAATCAGTTTATCAACACAATGGCAAGGGAAGAGAATTTACATTTCTATTCAATACAAACATCGTATCTACATAATTTATCTAACTCATTCTGTAAATGTATTTGAGTGGAAACAAAAGAAGACTGGTCTTTGTCAACACTGAGATTTCTACCTTCTCTTCCATGAGATTTAGTCAGCAAATACCTTGCACACTCAAATAGTGGTTTTCTTATGTATTGATAGTGATATGGAGACCCCCTTCATCAAAGACATGTAGGAACACAAGTTGAGGATTTCACTGCCTATGTTTCATCAGCCTTGAGATCTACAAGAATCACATAATCTACTGTATATGTACAAATTATGATAAATGCAAATTTGGCATACATATGCTACAAAATATAATATGTAATGATGTGCTATTCTATACTGTCATACAAATATGTATATGATAATGACCAATTTACGTTGTAGTTTTTCGTACATGCACCAATTTCGAAGCCCTCTTGTCTGCTTCAAGCAGTAGGTTCTATCATTTTGTCTTCTTAAAACGTACAAAAATAAGCAGCCTTCAGCTGCAAGCATAGTAAGATTCATTTCTTGGCAAAACGTCAGTTTGCAAAACAATATTTGAAACAGAAACTAACATAATCAAAAGCAAGCTGTAACAACGCTCCTAATAGGCTGAAAATAAAACTAAAAATATCTATAAATGATATGAACTATTGGCATTTTTCAACTGAGCATTTCAGGGATATGTAGTAATATCCCTTTCAACTGGACTCTTCTAATATATGGAATAGGTAAAGAATATAAAGGTATATATGTTATGGCATGTTAGAAATAGCTGCATGGATGAGACGCTGAAATGCTGCAGTTTGTAGAGGATATTACTGTTTAAGCTGATTACACACTGTCAATGAGAACATAGGAACCCTGTGATACATAGATTCTACAATAAACGGAGAGAGAGGACCCTGTTTCACTTCTAGGGGAGCACTGATTATTCCACATTTCACCACAATGAACTATCCCTCTTGTAGAACTCTTCAAGAACAGGAGGAACAAAAACCATCATCACAATTGTCACAAAACAAGTAATACTATCCCCAGTGCATCGCTGCTGGGATAACACAGACACCACCGTCAATATGGACAACTTCAACAGCATGCATACAGTGAAAAGTGTCGTAACATTGTCGTAACTCCTGCCATGCCCAGCGTTAGTCTACAGCCAATCAGAAACACGTTTTATCTGGGAATGGAAGGAGTTAGGGGAACTCCTCACAGCACCTACATACATTTTGAGTCCAACCATTGCCTGTGAGGAGCCCTGGATAATGGGAGGACAACATCTGAATGGATACATTGAGGACCTGATGTCATGATAATGCAGAAGAAATCATTTAACAGGACAAACAACGGCAGTTGCTGATTGACAATCAACACACACATGCTTCAATATGTAAAAATAATACATGGCAATACAAATTTACAAAGTCCATTTAAGTCCACCTTTCAAGCCCAGGTAACCTTGACCTTAACTTTGGTCAAATAGAAATCCCAAATAAGACAACCATGACCTTGACCTCAAGAAACGACCTGAATCACATTGAAGGCTACGAACACAGCTATGGTCTAACTTGTCAGTCAAGGTCACAATTTGCCTTTCACCTCATCAAGGTCAGTAAAAGACCTTGACGACACCAATCTATACACAGACATACCACCACCAAGTTCATGGCACCTTGGAAGAAGTTTGGGTGATAGTATATCTCATTTGCTGGGCTGGTCGCCAAATTCACGAACACACAACCCATGCGGAATCAAGTATCAACAAATATACTACAATATTTCAAGTAAATCCTTTACATTTTTAATGAACTAGGTAAACTAAACTAAAATACTCCACCTCTAGGAGGTTGACTATGTCATCTCTTCACAGTAAGTTCAGCTACAACAAATCATAGAACATGGTTCATTGCCAAAACCGCATGCTGCAAGCCCATATTTAATATGGCTGGCCTAGGATAGCAAGAGTAACAACAACAACAATACAAAATGGAAGAATTACATTAAGTGCTCACATGAGCAAAAAGATATGTATGAGTACAATTTCCTAAAACATGGAATAGTTGACAAAAACAGAACTGCCCACAATATCCAGCCGTGGGAGTGTCATCACCAGAGGCTGATTGTTCCTTGGTCAATACTGTCTCTTCAACACAATGGCTGAACACACATTTGCCTCGCTCACATACAAGTAAGTCTATTAAGTCACATGATTTACTCTATCTTTGGTTTTTTAGGTTTCGGTTCTAATTCCTCCGAGGCACTTTCACGTCTGCTCTCGGAAGGAACAGAAACGGGTCTAGATTTGGCAGGGCTGCTCCCAGCAGTGGAGGAGCTTCCTTCAGACTTCCTTTGGTATAGTTTGGTGGCCTTGACCTTATGCACCTCCATCTGAGTATGGAGTTTATATTCATATGCAGTTGAGAACCGCTCGGTGCAAGCTCGGCATTCATATTGCTTCTGCTCTAGCTTTAACATTGGTTTCATATTTTCTGAAACCTTTGCGCCTGCGAAGCACACGGCCCTCTGGTGGGTGATGCAAGCCTCCTTAGCGGGATACACCATTTGACATTTCTTGCAGATGTAGCCCACGTCCACAGTACTCTCCTGGGCACAGGCATAGTCCACACTGCTCACCTGGTTCTTGAGGTTTGATACAGATTTAGAATCTTGCGTGTACTGAGCTAGGCTGGACTTGGGATCGGTCAGCAACTCACTCACATTCTTTATAGCATCCTGAGGAATTTGGAGAAGAGGGAGCGGGGTTCCAAAACTTAGCGGGTCATATGCCATCATGTGCTCTGCCCCTGGGTACAGAAATTGAAATCATTAACAGAATGTCTCCAAACCAGAAAGTTTATGAAAAAAACCATTCATATATTATTTTTGTACTTTTAAAACTCTTGTGTAAAATATGCATTAAACTTACATGTTCTTTGGAGCAGTTCCATTGCTTAATATTATTGAAAACAGAGTTATTTCCCTTTACTTGTTATTTCTATTTACTTTGAAACAGGGGCGGTGGGGTAGCCTAGTGGTTAATGCGTTTGCTTGTCACGCCGAAGACCCGGGTTCGATTCCCCACATGGGTACAATATGTGAAACCCATTTCTGGTGTCCCCTGCCGTGATATTGCTGGAATATTGCTAAAAGCGGCGTAAAGCTAAACTCACTCACTCACTCACTTTCAAACAATATCATATTATTACATCAGTTATTAAATTTGACTTTTTTTTAAAATAACTAGGCAAATCCAAGATTTAATATTTCAAATGGCCCTACACTGCTTATCATCAGGACTTTTCATTCAATGTGAACTAAACTAAGTAAATAGTTCTTTTCACAAATTTAAAAAAATACAACTACAATAAAATGACAATAACTGCTGAAGAATGCACTTAAGTTTTACCACAGGACAACCTACCTGGCATAAGTCCGGGTTGGAGGAGGGGCATGCCCATCCCCGGCATGTAGCCTGGGAGTCCGGGGTACATAAATGGCAGGTAGGAGGGGTCCATTCCTGGGATGTAGCCACCCAGAGCCGACATCATCTGCATGTTCATGGCCATCTCCACTGAGGCTACAGAATCCTGCTGTTGCTGCTGCTGCTGCTGTTGAGATTTGGATGATGATGACGAAGACCCTGAATGAATGAAAATCAAAGGGTTTAAATGAGGAGAAATGAGGTTTAATGAGACCACCAAGTTTATTGTACATTTGTATGTATTATGTATCCTTAACGCCGATAATCTAGCAAGGTAACATTAAGAACCAACTTTTTACATCTTTAGGTAGATAGGGACAGGACTGAACCACAGACCTTACACTATACTCTCTGGCCTATATCCATTCAGCCCTAACAATAGAGTTGATAATGAATGTGACTGACTGACTGAGTTTGGTTTTACGCCGCTTTAAGCAACATTCCAGCAACATCACGGCGGGGGACACCAGAAATGGGCTTCACATAATGTACCCATGTAGGGATTCGAGCCCGGTCTTCGGCGTGACGAGCCAACGCTTTAACCACTAGGCTACCCCACCGCCCCGATAATGAATGTGAACTGGCAATGACTTTTTCAGAACATAAAGTGCATGGGTAGTGAATATTTTGGATGTGGGTTTGTGTTACATATTGATGAATTACAGAAGTTGTGTAGTGACTGTTGAATCACATTCACAACGCACCCTCACTTGAAGCGGATGATCGGGATTCCTTCTTCTCAGCTGTTTCTTCATTTGAGCGACTGGACTTCCTGGAGCTGGAGCTGGAGCTTGCTGGCAGGTGCCCTGTGCTCATATTCAGACTCGAGCTATTGCCTATAAATAACACATCACCATTACAACACAGTTCAGACTACTGTTTCCTTTCTATCAAAACTACTTTCACTACTGACATTAAGTCTCACCTATGTATTCTGATATTTCTGAAAAAAGTTTCATGGTATGATCATTTGAAACAAGAGAAGGAAAGCTTAAAATTCCAACGTGAATTCCTCATTCTTGTCTTCTTCACAAAAGGAAATTCTTAATCAGAAACGTGCCACATGTTTACAAAAGTTCCCTTTTCTGCTCAATATTATTGCCTAGAATGTCATCACCAAGCCCCTACACATGGTCTCTCATATAAAGTCTTGGATGCAGTGTATGTGACTACATACCTCCAGCGCTAGCCGGAAGACCAATGGCATTCATCCCCATAGCCTGCAGTTGTGCTAGATGAGGCGTCGTCGTGGTTGTGGAGGAGGAGGAAGATGCATCATCCCAGGCCTTCCTGACTCGATCCATCTCCCGCTGTTGTCGCAACAGCGTTGACATTCCAGTTGGGTCAGACATCTCTCGTTCTGCATCTGACTGAGACTGTATGAAGGCTTTGACATTGTCAATATGCTTCCTGGTGAAGATGTGATCCTGAATGGTGAACTTGTGAGAATACTTAAAGTTGCAAAGTGAACACTCCTCAGGAGGCTTGCTGAAGTCCACATCACTTCCGAACGTTTTGGCATAAGCAAGTTTGGACTTTTTCTCTTTGGCTCGAGCATTTTGGAACCATACCTGCACTACTCGTTTTGGAAGACCTATTTCTCGGCCCAGCAGCTCACATTCTGCCATTGTTGGCGTCTTGTAGTCTTGAAACAGGGACTTCATGACTCTGACCTGTAGACTGGTCATTTGAGTCCGGTATCGCTTGTTTGGCTGGTTTACATGGTAGCTGTTTGGAGATGGGGGACTGTTCACACTGGAGTTCACATCGTCATTTGTGCTATTATCAAAGTCAGAGTAAGTTTCTGATATAGAGTCATCCATACTGACTCTCCTGTTAAAATGATGGTCGTCACTTCTTTCGCTCATGTCAGTCAAAGGTCCATCAGAACATTTGTCAGTCTCAATGTTCACCTTGATGGGTTTGCTGAGATCGAGAGGGGCATCATCCTCCATCTGTGTAGGTACACGGCTTTCTGTCTCAGACTTCCTGCTAGAGCTTGTCTCAGAGCTGTGTCTCGACTTAGTCACCTGGCTAGGTCCACTGAGCTCATTGATGTACTTTTTAAGAGAATCCTCATAGATCTTGTTCATGGAGAGCTGAAGTGGGTCTGCTTGTGGGAATGGCATCCCAAGGCTGGAGGGAGGCATGAATGGTAGCAACTGTTGCATACCCGCTGGGGAAAGAGAGAGAAGTTTGTTGAGATCAGTGCCAGGGGGAGGGATGCCGGATGTTGATGCGGACATTGGCTGGGGGCTGGTGGGATTGCTGTCCATGGAAGCATCGGGTATGGCATCTACATTGATTTCAACTTTTGCCATTTCTTCAGCATGTTTGGTAGCAAGGTGAGACTCTAGAGCAGATTTGGCACGGAAGAGAGCACGACAGAAGGGACAACGTTTGTGAATGAGTTGTTGGTGGGCCCTATACTGACCTTTTCTTTCCCTGGCCCGAGTGTTTTGGAACCAGACTTGGACGACTCGTTTCTTCAGGCCGACCTCAGCAGCAATAGACTCCAGCTGTTTCCTACTGGGGTTGCAGTCCAGCTGGTACTTTTGGTAGAGGTAGTCAAGCTGTTCAGGAAGGATGGTGGTCCGCAGACGTTTGTCTCGAGGTTGATCATCCTTCTCTTCATCTGTGTCTTGAGCCATAAGTTTTCTCTTGGCTGCAGCTGCTGCTGCTGCTGCCTTGCTATCCTCCTGGTGAGCAAGTGTCTGCAGCATCCCAAAAGCACTGCTGGAGGGGAAACTGGAGAACAGACTTGGGTTCATGCTGTGAATCTTCAAATGTTCCTGCCAGAGATCAAGCCTGTTGAAACTAGCATCACACTTGTCACACTTGAAGGCAGCAGTCTGTGGATTTACTTCCTTCTGCTGCTGCTGCGGTTGTTGTTGTTGCTGCTGCTGCTGTGGTGGTTGTTGTTGTTGTTGCTCCTTAGTTTCTGTAATGCTGCCTGTTTGACTGAGATCATCTTGCGACATTATTGTTGAATTGCTGTCATCATCTATATTAGAAACAGAGTTATTATTATTGTTTTCTGCAATGCATGGTCTTTTCTGATGTTTAATCAGTTCATAGTATCTTTGGAACACAGCATTACACTTCTTACACTGGTAATTAAGTCCTGGAGTTCTCTGGAATGGTGTGTTACCTTCTTTGGCATCAGCTGCAGGTTGGTTCTCATAAATCTTTCTGGCTTTTTGACGAGCATTTTGGAACCAAACAACTATAACTCTAGGACTGAGATTCAGAAGTTTGGATAAATGATCAAGTTCATCATCTTTGGGATAGGCATTCTGTTCAAAATACTCCTGCAGAAGCTTTATTTGGAAGTCTGTAAATCTTGTTCTGTTGGCTCTCTTCCCAGAAGAGCCACCATCATTTCTCATAAAGGTATGGTCTTCACTGGTAGGAGTTGTGGTAGGTGTGGGGGTGTTGGGCACTGAAGCAGTAGGTGTGGAGGGGATGGAAGACGTTGTTGAGGGAGTGGAAGCATTAGAATAGCTCTCAAACTGATTTTTGTCATCATAATGTTCAGGCTTTGGTGTCTCAAGTTTAAACAAACTTTCATATCTATCAGTCTTATCAGCCTCATTATCACTTTGCTGATCATCTCGAAGATCATCATCATCTTCGTAATCATCTTTTGGCTCACTTTTAATCTCCGGGATCTTTCCAGTCTTTTCATATTCTTCAAGATCTATTGATGTTGAAGGAGGATTGTTGAAGTTGTAAGGCTAGTCCTTGTTTCTCTGCCTTTCTTTGAACAAAGTATTTCTGAACCAATGTTTAATGACTTTTGGTGGCAGGCCTGACTGATCAGACATTTGCTGGATTTGCTCTTCACTTGGGGAATTGTTGATATCAAAGTAGCCTCGTAAGATCTTTAGCTGCTCATCACTAATTCGTGTGCGAACTCTCTTCTGATTCTGTGCCTGCTGTAATTGTTGTTGGCTCATGTAATTAGGATCAACAACTTGAACTTGAGGTGAGAATCCCTGCATGTCCATGCCATGCATCATCATTGGCATCAGAGGAGGATGCATACCAAGTGTCATCAAGTTCACAGGAAGTGGCATGGGCATCATTCCAAACATTGGCATCAGTGAAGCCATGTCAAACTGGCTAGACAGTGACACTGGAGGTGGAGGTGGAGGAGGTGGTGGCATCTCCTGGCTCCCGGGTTTGTCACTGCTGGACCCTGAGCTACCAGGAGTGGAGCTGCCAGGTTGAGGTGTGGTTGGCAGAGCTTCCTCTTTTGGCTGCTTCTTATCAAAGTCTGTTTTGAACTTTTCCCCAAAGTTTTCAACTGCCTCAATGGGAACCATCTTTCTATGAACTTCTTCCTGATGGGCTTTGAGAACCCAGACACTAGAAAAGTCCTTGCCACATGCAATGCAGGAACATTTGTTGATTTCAGGCAGATCTGGTTTATCCTTTCTGCTGTCATCCTCAACTTCCTGCCAAATCTGTTGCTGTTCACAAGCTTCTTTGACATCAGTATTGATGTCATCCTTCTTTTCTTCCTTCTCATCAGTCTCTTTCTTTACCGACTTTCTTTGATTATATTCATTGAACTGCATCACACACTCAAACCCAATATTTTCTAAGAGGTTCTTATGGACTTGAGGTTTGAATCGTCCCATGAATCTGGATCTATTGAAAGCCTGAGTTGCCAGTGAGTTGGCCCCTGCTCCTAGGAAACAGTATATCTGTTGATGGGTACTCAGGGCATCTTGGCTGACGAAAGTGGAGTTACAGCGTTGACAGCAGTATGATGGCTGACTCTGACAGCTACTTTCAGCATGTTCAGTCATTTTGGATGATGTCTTCATAGCATTCACCATATTTTCCTTTTCTTCTAATACTTTGGAGCTTGAGTCATTTTTATGGGTAAAGTCCTCAGCTTGTTCAGCTGGTTCTTTCTTCACTTCAACTTTAAGTTCAGACTTCTTTCCTTCTGAAGACCTGGACAACTTTTCGACAACTTTCTCTAACATTTCCCCATTGACCTTCTGTGAGGTTGATGTTTCTGAGCTAGATGTTGTAACTTGAGGTGAGGAGGTTGTGGGTGTTGTAAGCATAGAGGAAGGAAGAGGCATTCCTGGTAGAACAGGCAGTTGGGAGAGAGGGTTGAGGCCAGACAAGCTGTTGGGCAGGCCTGGGAACAGCAGCGACTGCTGTTGAAGGGAGTTGGCCACCGAAACCTGTGTCTGTTGCTGCTGTAGTATATCTGCAAACAGCTGAGCCTGCTGCTGTGAGGATTTTGTCAGATCTGGCTGCTCAATAAGTGGCAGGTTAATATCTATTTGTCCTGTCATGGCTAATTCATGGATTTTGGATGCTCTTGTCTGGTGAGCTACAGATCGCAGTATATGAATGTCTAGTGTTGATCCTTGGTTGTAAGCTACTTTACATATATTGCAGCGATACGGCTTTTTCTCAGAGTCTGCTGATGCAGCAGTACTGGAGGTGGTTGCTGTGCTGGTGGATGAGGTGGGTGGAGAAGCGGAGATTGAAGGAGGCAGGTTTCCCTGTTGGGCAGCTTGCTTAAGTTTGTGCAGATGAGATACTGAGTTGTAGTGAACCAACAGGATATTCTTCTGAGTAAAGGATTCCTTACAAACATCACATTTAAAAGGTCGATTAGGATCGAGGTATCTTTCAATTGGGTAGCTTAATTTGTCCCCTCGACGATGCTGTAGAGTCTTATTGTGAGCTGTCAAATAATTCTGTTTCGTGAATGCCACCTTGCACCTGTGGCACTTATATTTGCGCCCAGGATCTTCATAGCTACCCTCAGCCATAGCCTGGCTGTTAATGAAATCCTCCATAAACTGCTGCTCTCTATAAGTACTGGAAGAATCACCCCTATCAGAGTCACATTTGTCATCTCCAAATTTAGCACTATCTTTGAACATTGCACCATTCTCTAAGTCTGTGGCCGAGTCACTGCAAGAAGTCTCCAAGTCATTATCATTATCATCCATTATGGCATCATCTTGCATGGCTGCATCTCTATCTTCACTGGATGGGGAGCAAGAGAGACTGGGGCTTGAGTTGGCCATTTTGGTGGCCATGAGAGCACCGAAGGAACTGGAGGACTGCTTGAGCTTTGGTTCTAGAGCATCTGTACATTCATGCCAAGCTTTGGCGTTAGAATTAAGAGTCTCTATATGTTTGTCCAGTTCAGCCTTCCCAAGCTCTGAGTGGGCAGCTTCTAGATGTTTTCTGTGTGAGGCAATGGAATGAAAACTCTTGGAGCAGACACAACAGTTGGTTATAAACCATAAGAGATGGAACTGAGTGTGCATCTGTAGTTTGTCAGCAGATTTGAAAGCTAAGGTGCACTGGGAACACTGATGGCTGTATTGGGTGAAATCGGTGCCAGAGCCTGCCACACGTTTGGCATGGATTTCCCGGAAGTGGACTTGGAGAGCTTGAGCAGTCTTGAAATACTGATTGCAACCCTTCTTCCAGCACAAGTAACCAGGACCCCGAGGCGTCTGTTTCAGCTCCAGGTGACCCAGCTCGTTCTGGTGAGCATAGAGTTGGTCGATGATTGCAAATGTTTTTGAGCAGGTCTGACATCTATACTGATTATCTCCATCACTCTTGTCCAGCAGGGAGGAAACGTCAATGGCTGCAACAGAAAACACCACATGAAACATCCACATAACAGACAAGAGTTTTCATAAGATACTGAACTGACAATTTTACAAAAGTAGAAAGTGGTAATCACAGCTAAACCAATATAAACCAATTTGTTGCAGGACAACTTTTAAACTTTATTCCATTGAACTAAGCAAGAACTGTCTCACATTACATACACATAAGAACATATATGTCATTCTGGGTTATTATCAAGTGAAAGTTCAACCATAACCAATCTCACCTTCAGCAATGAGCTTTGAATGCTCAATTTCCATGGCCTCAACATTTATTTCCCTTGTCTCGTCATATTCTTGACTTGGAGACTCAGAATCTTTCTTTTCTTGACTGGCTGCCGGTGGTATCCAATCATTGGCATCCACAATGAGCAGCAAACGCTGCAGACCTTCTGCGGTCACATTATGTGACTGCATGAGATGGCGTTCCAGTTTGGCCTTGACCTTGAACCCATCCTGGCAGAGAGGGCACAGGACCTCCTGCTGCTTGTGTTGGGCCAGCACGTGAGCCTGGAGGGAGGACTCGCTTGTGCTGCTGAAGGTACAGAGGGGGCACATATGGGAAGTTTCATTGGACTCGGCTGAAACAGACAGAAAGAAACATGAAAATAAACATATCATACACAGTGGACAAAGCTGGGGAAAACATTGATCAAACTAATTAATCAGGACCATTCATACTGAGAAAAAGTATGGTTTTAAGTTGCTTTTGGCAACATTCTAGTAACATCCCATATCGTCTTCAGTGAGTGAGTGACTATGGTTTTACGCTGCTTTTAGCAATATTCCAGCAATATCACGGCAGGGGACACCAGAAATAGGTTATCATCTTCAGCCTTTGTACCCATGTGAGCAATTGAACCCTTGTCTTCACCGTGACACGCAAATGCCTCCTGTTCCAACAACAAAAGGATCAGAAGGTGCGAAAATATAATCACATCCAGCTGTGAAGTAAGGAAGTAGGTAGTTGAGTCTCAACACTAATCTAATGGCCAAATGGAGGTGTGACCAAATAAGGAAACAGTCCGACCATCAAGCCACACAACCAAGCAGTGGTCAATGTATGTCAAAATGGACCAAGAACTGGGTCTCTGTCACCTTATTATATGAAATGCCATCCAAAGCACACTTGTGTATTAAGAGTAATCAAGATATTCTTTAATCTACGATTGGTATTTCTAAGATGTTTGTTATTGAATCCAACTGTCCAACTTAAGGGTATTTTCCTGTATATGGCATACTCTAGCCTTGCTCACAGGCTGCACTGAATGCTGAGCCCATGGATGTATAATATTGTAATTCTATCCTTTAAAGTGGCAAGTCTAGATAAGCGGACAGTACCAGTCTGCTATTTATTATTTTTTAGAAATTACCATTTAAACTATTAGTTTTTACCTTAGAGACAAGGCAAGTCCAGGCATACTCCGACACAACCTGACAACTTCCCAATTTACTACAGACATATAGGTTATTCACTGTCTATCAGTTTTTACCTTAGAGACAAGGCAAGTCCAGGCATACTCCGACACAACCTGACAAGTTCCCAATTTACTACAGACATATAGGTTATTCACTGTCTATCAGTTTGTAAAAATGTATAATATTTCCCTTTTCAAAATACTGTAACATTTAGATAAAAGAAACTATTTTAATTTTTCCAAGTTAGTGTGCTCTTATGTCTGTCAATGGATATTAACATTTATGTATTTCTTTACATTTCAATGTGAAGCAATATTTCATTGATGATGTGATGTCATACAATATTTCAAGGCATTTGAACCATAACAGCAGATCCTTAATATACAGACAAAAACCAATTACAGAACACATGAAAGTGCAGGTGTTCCTTTATTTTCAGATGTTCTCCCACAGTGCAATATACAACATGCGAAGCTACCTGGAAAAGAATATAGGAACACTTGAACTTTTATGTTTCCTGGGTGGTGTGTGTGTGTGTGTTCGCTCCTATGTCGATTACCCACATGGGCACAATGTGTGAAGCCCATTTCTGGTGTTCCCTGCCGTGATATTGCTGGAATATTGCTAAATGTGACGTAAAACCCAACTCACTCATATGTTCCCTTATTTGTTTCCATCAGTATATATACTGTTTGGAAAGTTGAATATGAAGGTTTCAGTGTCCTACTATTACACTTAAATATGTTTTTGTTATATGTGTGATGAGGTGTGTTTATATTTTACATCTGTTATATGCATAGATTCATAGTGTGTTGGGTTCGTACTACAGTCAGTGATAACAATCACTGGTATGTAGCTTCCTGCCAAATAGAAAACTGTTCAGCAAGATAATTGTTCTGTTTCTGTCCACAGAATTCCCATACAAGCCACAAATACTTTTCTTCCAGTCGGCATGAATCTCACCCAACAATTACATATTCATAGTTATCACTCTGCACCCACGTTCATGCAAGTAATGAACACTTCATTTCAGTGTTAGACTGAAAAACGAAATGTCATCAAACTTGAATCTCTCCACGAGCTACATACCATTATCAATGTACAGCAAGAAAACCTCACACCATCAGTTTAACATAGATGTTGTAAGACGAAGGACAATGGAAGCATCACACTGCCAACCCAGCCAGATGTACAAGTCCCAGCAGATTTACTACATTTCCAACCAACTGAACCGTCGTTCTTCAGTTTCAACTTCAGCCTAACATTCCGCACAGAGGAGAGAATTGAAGGATTCAAAAACATTTCCTAAACTCCAGCAGGACCCAGGACTAGGAAATAATTTGCTGACAGCCATGATAATTTTTGTATGAAAGTATAAGGCAGAGGTTATCTTTGTGGGTAAATAAATCATGTTGAAGATTAGAACTTGCAAGATTAGATTAGAGCTAAAGTCCATAAAATTAAAATAACATATCAGACACACAAAAATGAATAATTGATAATAATCAATACTGGTACATGCCTCTGTAGGACATGGACTGGCCTGTGGATCCTGGCTGTTGCTTCAAGTCCCTATCTGTATCCTCACTGCAGAGGTTAGTTGAAACGCTGGCTTATGATTACATAAATGGTACCCCAGCCAAGCAACTATGGCACATAACTACTTCCTTTCCGATAACAAGTAATTACTTTTTTAAATATGCATGTACAAGTTAAATATGATATTCTTTGTTTCTTTGCAAATAATGGCAGTTACAGTACCACCCCTTGTTTTCTCTCACACTGAACCTGAAACGTATCTGCCGACTGACTTCTCCACATAAAATGATCCATGTTTCTTTAGGATGGCTTGATACGTTCAGTCAAGTGTGAATATGAAAACACCATGACACCATTAAAGCAAAAAGATTTTGAAAAGGAATTGCAAAGGACACAGGTGAACATGTTAAGCAAAACGCAACACAACACAGTCACTCCAAGATATTTCTAAATTCAGTTTTCACTGCTCCCAAGCAGGTGAAGAAAAACAGAAAGAATGTACTACTCCAACCAAAATGCCACAATAGCCAAAATCTGAAATTAATTGCTATTCACCAAGTCAATCCCTGTCGTATGGTACGAGCCTCATTTCGGCAGATTATGTGAAACAAATGCGTTGTGGAGGCTGTTGTTTAGAAGCACTCAAACAACATATTTGACATGCTAGTCCTGCTTTTAACAAGGCTCTGTTTGTAGAAAACACATGGGAATGGTTTCCGCGTCATCTTGATGTTATTAACGACAGAGTCATGCCATTTTGATTCACAAAAGTTCAAGTTTGATTCATTGTCGGCTGAATTTATTTTTCTAACCAGAAATTTTATGGTCTCCAATTGTTAAAACTTGGTAATTGTACATAGCTCATATTCATTTACTCGCGCCCAGGAAGTCAGCAGAACTACAAATCGCTCTTATTTTTAAAAAGAATTTTTTTTCCATCTAACAAAAACATGCACCAACAAAATCATAAAAATAATCCAACAAAAATACACCATCTGCAGAAACTGGCATCAGATCCTAAACATTCTCTTGCTTTCCACACTTGTCGTTCCATTTAAATTCTCCTTTTAAGTGAAAGCAATTTTGGCAAGTCTTCTTACAAGTTTACAGTCAGTTTAGAATCAGTCCTCATAAGTTTTCAAGAAAACACTTCCATGTATTGGTGATTATCATTAAATATTTCAAAACAATATTTTTGATTAATGTTGTGTCTGTATCTTGTAAAACCTTGCTCTAAAGCCTTGCGACAAACTTATTCACCTGGTTCACACAACTAATGACTCCACTCTTTGGCATCAAACTTATGAATATATTCACATGGTTTTAATAGCAAACCACTGGTACTGACCATTGACTGATGTCACTGGCGATGATGTTTTTGGCGTTGTTGCAGTGACTGATGACGAGGGCCCGAGTGATGCTGATGAAGATGACCCCTCTTGACGCTGCTTTTCAGAGTTCTCTGGAACATCTTCCCCAGTAGTAGCCCTTTCAGACACATCACGGTCTCCATCTGAAAATAGATATTTCCTGAACTCAAAAGATGCAAAAAATTCTCTGACTCTCATGTTGCTTCAAGAAGCAGAACTGACAACATACATCCGATGATATTAACACCACAACATCTTGTGACAAACTTTTATAAGAAAGCTCATCAGATCAACTCTTATATACAATAAGTGTGATATAACCTAGCAACCATAGGGAGTTTCACAGTATTTTCCTTTAAATAGAAAAAAACACCAATCAGACGTTCAACAATAATTTAAAAACAAACAAGCAACATCCATTTTATTTTCCATAAATTATGAAATATTGTTAATCGCAGGTATTATACTTTCAGTACCCCTCACTGAAAGATGAAAGAAGATAATATATTATTCAACCATGTCTGGTCAAACAAAGTTTGAAACGTCTGTGTTTTATTACTGTAGGACAAGTTGCACCCTAAATTTCCTAATACAGAGAGAAAACGTATACATCTATAGTCTAACATCTATTTTCTTTGCCAGCCCAGCCGCCTCCCCTCTCTGTCAGGTCATAACATATTTGCCATTAATGAAATAACTGTAACCGAAAGGATTGGGGACCTTGTTCAATGGGCAATATTCAAAATCTTTAGTGTTTTCTCGATGCTATCAGTGTACAGCTGAAGTGTGGCCTATCTGAAGATCAGGACCACAGTTGAGTGATTTTATTCATACCAGTAATACAAAACTACATGACAGCAGCCCCACACTCGCCCTGCTTGCTTCCTCTCCATGTTGAAATTGACCTCGAGTGATAAAGCTACTCTACACGGATTTTGCCCTGTCACCATCCACCATCTTGGATTTTATGCACTGCTTTTTATCTCTTTAATATTGAGAAAGGGAGAGCTCCTCTGCCCCTCTGTATTAGATAACCATCTCTAAAGGCTAAAGAGTTCCACTGCATGGGTTTACGTCAACAAATCGATACTAAGACAAGAATATTGAAGACCTAGCCAATCAGTTGCTTTCAAATATGATTGGAATATCATATGGTGGCAAGAGGATATGGGTCAGACTGAGCATCATTATTTGGTGAATTTCTCGACCTGCTCTGTGCTGTTGGAACAGCCGTCCATTTCTGCCCTCATATTAGTTTTCTGGCCCGATGGCTTCTATCCTACAGACCCAAATTACACAACGACAGTAACTATCTGAGCGGGGATTTGCGAGTGGCGATCAACAACTTAATTTGTCGCAAACCCCTGCACCATGCAAAAATGTTCATTTGGCAGACGCAAAATTCATTTCCTAGGTAACAGTGTGGCTGGATTGTAATTAGTAGCGCTGGTATTGATTGCTGAAAAATGGTCGGCAGATTAATTTGATGTGCTACTCTGCTTGATGGGAAAAATAATACATCCCTAGAGCGAAGGGCCGCACTGCTCTGTTTCTCCCAACTTTAATTACACCAATTATGAGGACTCGTCGGACAGCCAGTGAAATGTGTTCTTGTGGAGGCCCCAAACTGATCTATAACATTGCATTGATTCATTAGCCTCCGACAACTTCGGCTTAAGGAAGATTCCTCATTAGTTGCATTTTAAGACCTTTCCCTATCACAAATGAAGACATTCATACCACATGCATTTTTGCTCTTTCTCCATTTGTCTCAATCATTAGGGCAACATGCCTGGAATTAAAAACCTGGACCAGTAGAGTTTCAGACAACCATGTTATCATCATCAGATCCTGATGACTGCGACCTCCGACCTTTGACCCTATTGTTTATATGAAACAAATGGCTGCCACTTGTCAAACATGCTTTGAAGTCACTACTAAGACTAAATCAAGTTGATAAAAAAACTATGATTAATAAAAAATAGAATTTTCTTTTTTCTAAACTGTTAAAGAAATGAGTAAAATCATGATTGAATGGCAAAAATTTTGCATTTAAAAAACCCCAGGAATTGAACAGGAATAAGAACATAAAGATGACTAAATTTGGCCATGAAATTATAAACTTCACAGAATTTTGTAAAATTGTCTTTGTCCTCCTGCAACAAAAGATGAAGAATTGAAGAAACAGTTGAGTGTGACATGTTGAGAAATGGATGAGAGAAGCGGTTTCTCATGATTTACATGCCCGAATCAATGTTGATCATATATAATACAAGACTGCAGCCTTCTCGTGCCAGCCCTCGTCACCTACAGCATTCTGCGAACCATCTTTTGTAAAATTTATGAGTACTGCTGTCAAGAATTACTGAATACCATCTGAATAATGGAGTAAATATCTGACAAACAAACAATAATTACTGTATTTTTTACATTTTGCTTTCTAATTTGGATTAAGACTGCGGGATGGGAGACAGAGTGAATAATCAGCCTTGGCATAGCATCCATTTCCATCTCTGTCAGCCAATCACAACCAGAGAACCATGGATTACGAGATCGCTAAAAGGTGCAAATTAGCTCCGTTTGTCGGTAATGATATCTCAGGCATATGACCTAACTGTCTGGCATAAAGTCCGCTGGGAAATATACATTTGGATCAATATTTAGCTAGAATATATAAATCAATATTAAGTGCCCACTGTTGTCTAATAATACTGGATCACTGGCATAGACCAAGTAGCTAACAGCAACAGCCTTATCGCTGTTGACCTCTGACCCACATGTAGTTCTCGACCCTGCTGCTACACCTCACCCTATGTTTCCCCTCATACTTATTCAAACTTATCATGGCGGAACACCCACACTGCTTAAAGCCAGGCTGGCAAATGATGATTTTACCATCCGCTGATTCATTGATATTTGCAAATATTTTATATTTAGAGCACATTTAAGACAACTGTTACAGATAAGATCGTGAATGGTAACATATGGTTGCTTCAGTGAAGGAATCTTGTTAAATCTCAGTCTATGAAGACATAAGCCTTTATCAGACTCTTCTAAAATTCATGGCAGGGATATCAGTTACCTATTGCATGATGGGATAGACGTAAACTCAAGGATTTCCTGTTTGAAGGGGAAGACATTTCAATCACAGAGCAATGAATAAATTAATTTCAAGAATTCCAGACACACCTAATCAAACCCTTGACCAAATCTAAATATGGATGAATTATCCAATTATAAGTTTAAAATGCCAGAAACATGCAAAATGTTCATCACAGACAAAAACAAATTCCGCAAACGGAAATGAAATGAAATATGAATATTTATCTGTTGGTTATTTAACTGGGTCTTCTGGCTTTGCCAAGAAAGATAAGAAAGGTGTATTGCAGGAGATGTTATTTCTATGCACCGATCACACCACACACAAAAAGGACTTTTTTCTTGAAAATTTGTAGAATGTTTGCATTTTGTAGATAGCTAATGGCTTGTATTCACACCTCAGGAAGTGCACAATATATATGTAGATGTTTCTTGTCCCAGAGGCATCCAAACTCAATGTGCAATTCCTTGAAACATTTCACAAATAATAATTTCTTTGTCTTTTTCTCTCTTGCAACACCAGTTATTACAAAACATAGGGTTGTTGTAATTTGAATACAAAGATGCAAAGAGCTATTTTTGATATAGTCATCAGACATTCATGCTTGAAGATATGTTATCTCTGGGGAGGTTTAAAGTTTGAAATTGTCTCATCAAGTTGATAAAATGTTTGCAACTAGAGCTGGCATGGGTTGAAGGTCATAAGGATGACCTTCCTAGCTAACAGGATTAAAGTGTGGCTTTATCTCCCAAACCCAAATCCTCCTTCAAATTAAACTCCATAATGTGTTGCTGGGCTAGGGAGCGGGCAGATAATTTATGGCATGAATCAATGGTAATGAAACAAATTCAAACTCTCTCTGAAGAGGGTCATTCGGCCATATTTCTGCTTCAAATTAGGCAGGAAGGGGTGGTGAGAATTTGAGTTGTTTTACATCCAGCTTGTATAAACAAAGAACATGGCGATTGCTGGGATCAAAGGCTTATTGCGACACTTTAAAATTGATTGTGGGTCCGGACTGTGTAAACCTTATTATGACGTGTCCCCGGATTGGTCAAATCATTTGAAGACCGGGGTCAGGGTTCAATGACAAAATTCCAACGATCTCTATGAACATTCAGATTTTAGATCGGAATTCCAGCACCCTCAATTCAAACTTGGGTCCTTTAATCCATATTACACATGGATATTGAAAAACTAAGACAAATAATTTGTGCATTGTTCCTTGTCCTAAGTTCTACAAATATTTGTTTACCCAACTATGGCCGTTTTTATCTGTGTCAATAGATACAGGAACTAGGTATGAAGTAATTCCAATATGGACAACAGACTCGGCCAAATCGGAGGAAAGACCAATGCCAAATATGTGACAAAAATCGATAAAAGAAAAAAATGCAACCCTTTGTTTTTCTTAGTACGATGTGCTAAGAATTAAGAAAATGATGGATTTATACATACGTAACAACTCTCAAATTGTGGATTATCCCAAACGTAACATCAAACAAAATAATTTTGTAAATTTTTATCCTTTTCTTCGAATCACAGCAGGGTGGTACTTTGTTTACAAACAAGTCAGTGATTGTTACTATTACATACTGTTAATCTCGGGGCATGAAATGGTTACAGTTGTGCAGAAAACAGTGATTACTGTCAGTGGAGTTGGGCAGGAACTAGCGGCTTCCCATGTTTCTTCTCAATAAGGGTTCCATTGCAATGTGTAGAAAAGCATATCTAACAACAGAACTGGGGAGTGTTTTCCTTCACACTTGACAAACTACCAGCTAACTGGAAACCTTAATATGCACATAAATATTCAATCTGACTTTCCAGCAGATGTTTTAAGGATTTTTTTCTATATATACCATTGCATCTTCCAAGCTTTGTGCAATTACTCTGCTGCACACGAAGTATAATGATCTTGTTGATGGCCATGAGGTTTTACCATTACTCCAATGGTAACCAGACCGCCCGAGAGCTTGCCCCACCTACCCCCTCATTACCAACCCCCACTCCTCATCACAGACTGCTTCATCCCCCTCCTCT